AAAAAAAAAAAAAAATTATAGTTATTTTAAAGTATTATGTTATTTATATACATGCAATTAATACATAATTACTATTTTAAAATAAACTAATGAATCAATTATTTTTAAAATTTCTTAGGTGACAGAGACTATGACTCAAAAAAAATTCTCAGTATAATTAATTTCCTTTTTATGTGAGTTAGAGCCACCAATATCTACCATATTTAAAAATTAAAACTGTGACTGGGTGAGGTGGCAGGAATGCTTGAGCTCAGGAGTCTGAAACTAGACTGAGCAAGAGTGAGCCCCTGTCTCTATTACAAAAAAAAAAAGAAGAAGAAAAAATTAGCTGGGGATGCTGGCAGGTGCTTGTTGTCTCAGCTACTTTGGGAAGCTGAGACAATAGGATTGCTTGAGCCTGGGAGTTTGAGGTTGTACTGAGCTGTGATGATGCAGGGGATTTTTAGAGATAATCATCTCTGAATTCTAGCATGGGTCAAACAGTGCAACCTTGCCTCAGGAAAAAAAAAAAATCCATACAAATTTAAGCAAATCAATTTCTCAAAATAGATTATGCTTGAATTTCTAGAAAATTCTGATAATGAAGACACTCACTGGCTTGCCAACATGTTTGGCAGTTCCCACGATGGCATGGTTCTTCACACCTATGAAGGCCACAACGGAGTTTCCTCCCACAAATCAAAGGACACTTGTGCTCTTTATCCTGGGAAGAGAGATTCATTGTCATTTACAAAATGGTGTCCATTTTGGATTTTCCATAACAAACAAGATTATAAAAATAAAGCTCTACACATTTATGGATAAAATGTAGTCTGAAAATAGCTTCAAAATAATCAGTAAAAGGGGGAGTAATGGGGATTTGGGTAAAACAAGATTAGACATGAGTTCATCACTAGTGAAGCTAGATATTGCGTCTGCTTTTGTATATGTTTGAAATTTTTGAGGAGTAGTCATCAAGCTTTAAAACTCTGGTTATACCACAATTTTACCACTCTTTACTTTGTCACTACATAAATTGTAAGAATAATAATTATGGTTTTTTTTTTTTTTTTTTGCAGTTTTTGGCCGGGGCTGGGTTTGAACCTGCCACCTCCGGCATGTGGGGCCGGCGCCCTACTCCTTTGAGCCACAGGCACCGCCCAATAATTATGTATTTTAAACACATACATATACATGTATATGTACTACTTTGCTGGTTATCTTATTTATATAGGTGTGTATATACATGTACACACATAATATACACATACATCTATATACACAAAACATATAGACATAAACGTAAAACATGTTACCAAAAACCAGACAGTACATCCTTTAATTAGTTCCATAAAAGTAAATATCTCAATTAAATGAAACTTACTCTTTTAAAAATGTCATACTCATTTCACCTACTGACATGATCCAAGGAGCATACGAAACCTGAAGCCTGAGTTGCTAAGTCTAGGCAAGCCTATTTTGGGACAACACACAATCTCCTGCAGAAGACTGTGTGCTCATCTGGTGGTCTTGAGCTCTGAAGCCTGAGGTCTTCTTTCTTTCCTCTTTCTCTGCCTCCTGGCTGAGGCCTTAAAAGGCCTGGTCTGTCTCTCTGCTGAGCAGGTATAGGGACTAAGACTGCTGCTTAGGAGCCCCTCCCAATGATTCCTCAATCTGGGCTTGTGTTCCAGATGGCCAAGGCTTTCAGAAGTTCAGCATTTGGATGAATGAAATCTGAGTATGCCTAATGATAAGTCCACTTACCACACAGCATATCTCATTACATTTATGGCGTCCACACAATCGTTTCTTGTTACACCGCTTGTCACACATAAATGTAGCATCTGTTGTGGCCAATTAAAAATAAAAAAAAAAAAACAGGCAAAGGATAGGAACATTTATTCAACAAATATTTGAGAGACTACAGACTGAAAACTTTAAATGTAATAATGTAAATAAATCAGTAATGGTGAAAATTCATGTTAAAACATTTTTTACTTTTCAATTTGTCAAAAAATAGAAAATAGCAAGACTGATTAATACATAGCATGAGTTAAAGTGTGGAGAAAAAGGTGCACTCATCATAGCAGATGGACATATAAACTTTTGGAATATAACTGTCCTGTGATATCCATGAGAGACTGACTCCATGACCTCCCTTAGATACCAAAATCCATGGATGCTCAACTCCCTTAAATAAAATGGTATATAACCTATTTGCATATAAACTATGTACATCTTTCCTTGTACTTAAATCCTCTCTAGATTATTTATAATACCTAATACAATATAAGTGCTATGTAAATAGTTGTTGTATTGTTTAGGGAATAATGACAAGGGAAAAAAAAACCTCTGTACATGTTCAGGACAGACACAATTAGGTGTTTTGACTGTTTTCAATCTGTGGTTAGTTGAATTCATGGTTATCAAGCCCAGGGATACAGAAGCCAGACTCTTTCTCCCTATATAAATATATATCTATAAAAATGTAAGTGATAATCTCATTTTAAGAAATCCTTTCTACAAATATACTTCCAAAAGTGGTTAGGATACCAAAGGCACAAGCAACAAATGAAAAGACATATACATTGAACTTCATTAAAATTAAACCCTTTTGTGCATCAAAGAACACCATCCAGAAAGTGAAAAAAGCCACCCACATAATTGGGAGAAAATATTTGAAAACACATAGCTCATAAGGATCCAGGACCTAAACTATACAAAGAATTCTTTTAACTCAAGAACAAAAAGATGAACAACACAATTAAAAATGGATAAAGGACTTTAAGAGATCCTTTTCCAAAGAAGATATACTTCTATTCCTAGGTATATATCCAAAAGAAGGGAAAATAAGTATTCAAACAAATATCTGTGTACAAATGTTCATAGCAGCACTTTTTACAAAAGTCCAAAACTGGACATAACTCAAATGTCCATCATCTAATGAATGGATAAATAAAATATGGTATACTCATAAAACAGAATGTTATTCACCAATAAAAAGGAATTAAGTACTGATATGTGCTACAACATAATAAACCTTGAAAACATGCTTAAGTGAAAAAAGGTAGGCAGAAAAGTTTATATATGACTCCATTTCTATAAAGCATTTAAAAATGGTAAATCCAGAGTGGTGCCTGTGGCTCAAAGGAGCAGGGTGCCGGCCCCATATGTGGGAGGTGGAGGGTTCAAACCCAGCACTGGCCAAAAACTGCAAAAAAAAAAAAAAAAAAAAAAAAAAGTAAATCCATTGAAACAGAAAGCAGATTAGTGGCTTGCTTCTTTCCTTTTCTCCTTCCTTCCTCTTTTTTTTTTTTTTTGCAGTTTTTGGCCAGGGCTGGGTTTGAATCCGCCACCTCTGGCATAAGAGGCCAGTGCCCTACTCCTTTGAGCCACAGGCACCACCCCCGCTTTTTAAAAAAATGAAACAGTCCTGCTCAGCCTCCTAGTAGCTGGGACTACAGATGTCTACTACAATGTCAAACTAATTCTTCTATTTTATTTTGTTTTTTAGTAGAGATAGGGTCTCAGCTCAGACTAGTTTAGAACTCCTGAGCTCAAGCAATCCTCCCACATCGGTCTCTCAGAGGGCTAAGATTACAGGTGTGAGCCACTATGCCCAGCCTTACATACAGGGTTTCTCTAGGCAGTGATGAAAATGTTTTGGAACTAGATTGTGGATGTACTAAATGCTGCTAAACTATACATTTAAAACAGTTAATTCTATGTTATGTGAATTTTAACTAAAAAAGGTGACCAAAATAAAGTATTTACGGGTTAAATGATATTTGAGACTTGTTTTTCAAAGTCCTTCAGCAAAAATAAAATACATGGAGAGAGGGAAAGATAAAACTAGAGGTAAAATGTTGACAACTGGTGATGACAGGTACATGGGAGATCATTATGCTTGTTTCTACTTTCATATATGATCGAAATTTTTCATTATAAAGTTATAAAAAGTGAGATAGGAGGATTATTGCATTATTAGTCATGTGGGAAAACTGTAGACAACCTAAATGACCATGGAGGGCCAATGTGAACTAACAATAACATGGTAGACTCACACATGGAATACTCTGCAAGAAAGAGCACTTTACACATGGACATGGAAAAATGTCTTTGACATATTAGTAAGGGAAAATACCAAGGTACAAATAGTATGGTTAATATGAATAAAAATTTAGGGGGAAAAAAAAACTATGCTGACATATTGATATACCTCTATGAACAGAGGAAAACATCTGAAACCATATCCAACAAACTGCTAGAGTGGTTTTATCAAGGGAGTGGAACCAGGAGGCAAAAATGGGGTGAGGGAATATTTTCACTTTACATACAGGGTGGCCATTAAGTTCGTGTGCAATTTAAATTTACTTTTACTCCAAAAATTTATTAATTTTTTTAAATTATGTTTTTTTTTTTTTTTTTTAGACAGAGCCTCAAGCTGTCCCCCTGGGTAGAGTGCTGTGGCATCACTCACAGCAACCTCCAACTCCTGGGCTCAAGCGAGTCTCCTGCCTCCGCCTCCCAAGTAGCTGAGACCACAGGCGTCCGCCACAATGCCCGGCTATTTTTTTGGTTGCAGTCATCATTGTTGTTTGTCGGGCCCAGGCTGGATTCAAACCTGCCACCTTAGGTGTATGTGGCTGGCACCTTAGCCACTTGAGCCACAGGTGCTGAGCCTAAATTATATCTTTAATAACCAAAATTTTAAACATTGTTTTCAGACAGATATTGCTGGTGTCCTCCCAGTCACTCCTATCCTCCTTCAGGCTAAAAGAACCTTAATTTTATTCAGAAGCTGAGTATCCATGTACTCCTCAGTTCCAGGGGTGAATGTTCAATAATAGTCTTGCCCACCACAGTAATTCCATTCCCTTTGCTAGTGACAGGTTTATGATAAAGCAAGTATATATCGAAGACCTTTCAGGACTACTTTCCTTGCCCTGAAACAGATAGGTGTGGTGGCTTATGCTTACAATCCTAGGACTTTGGGAAGCTGAGGGAAAAGGACTGCTTGAGGTCAGGCGTTTGAGACCAGCCTGGGCAAAATAGTGAGGCCGTTTCTACAAAAAACAAAAAAAAAATTAGCCAGATGTGGTAGCACATACCAGTAGTCCCAGTTTCACCGGGGCTAAGAGGATTGCTTGAGCCCAGGAGTTTGAGGTTGCAGGGAGTTATGATGAGGCCACTGCTCTTTAGCATAGGCAACAAAGTGATACTCTGTCTCAAAAAAGAAGAGAAAATAGAGGAGGTGTTGCAAGCTGGCCAAATAGAACCCTCCAGAGATCATCCTCCTCCCACACCAAATTTATTATCCATGTAAGAAAGAACCTCCAATAAGAACCAAAAGTAGTCATCAAGAGTCTGCAAAAGTTGCTGCACTGCTGGGCTTGGGGTGCCCCCTAGTGTTAATATGGCCAGTGACCAATAACATATCATAACACTCAATTTGAATATCTGGGAAGACTTCTCAAGGATGGGTTCAAACAAGATCAATCTGAGAAGATAAGAATAAATACCAAAGCCTTTAACGCCCAGACATTAACAAATATCGAGAACACCTAGAAAAACATGACCTCACCAAATTGAATAAGGTACCAATCCTGGAGTGATGGAGGTATGTGACCTTTCAGAAAATGAATTCAAAATAGCTATTCTGAAAAAGTACAATTAACTTCAAGACAACACAGAAAAGGAATTCAGAAGCCTATCATGGATAATCAATGAAGAGACGTAAAAGAGAAATTCTGGAGCTGAAGAACTGAATTGACAAACTGAGAAATACATCAGTCTTTCAACAGTAGAACTGACAGAGCAGAAGAAAGAAATAGTGAACTTGGGCCAGTCTTGGTGGCTCACCCCTGTAATCCTAGCACTCTGAGAGGCCGAGGTGGGTGTATTGCCTGAGTTCAAAGGTTTTAAGACCAGCCAGAGCAAGAGACCTCATCTCTAAAAACAGCTGATGTTGTGGTGGGTGCCTGTATTTCCAGTTACTGGGGAGGCTGAGACAAGAGAATGGCTTAAGCCCAAGAGTTTGAGGTTGCTGTGAGCTGTGACATCACAGCACTCTACCAAGGGTGACAAATGAGACTCTGTCTCGAAAAGAAGAAATAATGAACTTGAAGACAAGCACCCAAAGAAAGCCCAGCAATGCTGCAACTTTTGCAGACTCTTGGTGATACTTTCCTGGCAACTACTTTTGGTTCTTATGGAGGTTCTTTCTTACATGGATAATAAATTTGTTGTTC